GGCTGAGGCGAGGCTGAAGGCAGACTGAGGCTGAGGGCTGAGGCTGAGCTGAGGCTGAGGCTGAGGCTGAGAGGCTGAGGCTGAGGCTGAGGCTGAGGCAGGCTGAGGCTGAGGCTGAGGCTGAGGCTGAGGCTGAGGCAGGCTGAAGGCAGACTGAGGCTGAGGCTGAAGCAGGCTGAGGCTGAGGCTGAGGCAGGCTGAGGCTGAGGCTGAGGCTGAGGAGGCAGGCTGAGGCTGAGGCTGAGGCTGCAGGCTGAGGCTGAGGCAGGCTGAGGCTGAGGCCGAGGCTGAAGGCAGACTGAGGCTGAGGCTGAAGCAGGCTGAGGCTGAGGCAGAGGCAGGCTGAGGCTGAGGCTGAGGCAGGCTGATGCTGAGGCAGGCTGAGGCTGAGGCTGAGGCTGATGCAGGCTGAGGCTGAGGCAGGCTGAGGCTGAGGCCGAGGCTGAAGGCAGACTGAGGCTGAGGCTGAAGCAGGCTGAGGCTGAGGCTGAGGCAGGCTGAGGCTGAGGCAGGCTGAGGCTGAGGCTGAGGCTGAGGCTGAGGCTGAGGCAGGCTGAGGCTGAGGCTGAGGCTGAGGCTGAAGGCAGGCTGAGGCTGCTGTGAAGCTGAGGCTGAGGCTGAGGCAGGGCTGAGGCTGAGGCAGGCTGAGGCTGAGGCTGAGGCTGAGGCTGAGGCTGATGCAGGCTGAGGCTGAGGCTGAGGCCGAGGCCGAGGCCGACGGCAGACTGAGGCTGAGGCTGAGGCAGGCTGAGGCTGAGGCAGAGGCAGGCTGAGGCTGAGGCTGAGGCAGGCTGATGCTGAGGGAGGCTGAGGCTGAGGCTGAGGCTGATGCAGGGTGAGGCTGAGGCAGGCTGAGGCCGAGGCTGAAGGCAGAGTGATGCTGAGGCTGAAGCAGGCTAAGGCTCAGGCTGAGGCAGACTGAGGCTGAGGCACGCTGAGGCTGAGGCTGAGGCAGGCCGAGGCTGAGGCTATGACTGTGACTGCCGTTGCTACTGCGACTGTCATCGCGAATGCGACTACGACTGCGACAACAGCAGAATTCTACAACTGGATTCTCATCTGAATCTCAAGGGGAATGCTTCCAGGTATGCTCCTACACATCGCTGTTAGGTTGCTTTGCCGGGATAGTTTCGCTACGTCGGATCTCAAGGAAGAGGGGGGTGATGACTAGGGGGGGGATCTCATGGCGTACGCCATAATATTTCCCCAGACTTCATGGCGCCTCTCTTTGCTTCATGACGTCCCTGGCCCCCCCCCTGGGCCGCGCACATGCAGCCGGCATGATTTGCGCCCCCCCTCTTGGACGCCCCCCTCTTAGACGCCCCCGATGATAGAATCCCGCTCAATTCGGCTCAACCTTGTTCAAGAGTGCTCGTTGGCCTCTGCGTCGGGCTCGACAGCCAGAACTCGTTCCAAAGGTAGCCCACCAGAAGTGGCCTCCGAATCCCCATCCTCCCTCCATTCTCCCTTCGGGGGCGTCCGGGATGGGGAGTCAGAGAGACTATGTTCAAGCGGAGGAGAGCTCGCGCGAGTCTTGCGCGGAGGCCTCGTGCGGGAGACAGAGTGCTCCTTGTGCGGGTCTGTTGTGAATGCCCTTGGCATTGTGTTGCATACGCGCGCGCGTGCGCATGCAGGAGACGGGGGAGCGCGGAATCTAGGCGGTTCCCTTGCACAAGACCCCTTGTTCGTCTTGCGCGCCGCCACTCTTCGCTCCGGCACTCTTGTTGCACAAGACCCCTTGTGCGCCTCGCGCACCGGCACTCTTCGCTCTGGCACTCTTTCTGTTGAGAATCGTAGCGGGGTGTGAGAGGGAGGAGGAGGAGGAGGTGGCGGAGAAGGAGCAGGAGGAGCAGGAGGAGCAGGGGGAGGAGGAGGGGGAGGAGGAGGGGGAGGAGGAGGAGGAGGAGGAGGAGGAGGAGGAGGAGAGGAGGAGTGAAGAGGGGGGGACAGCATATCATGGCCTGGGCCATGAAGTCTCTCTGGTTTCTTGGCCCCTTTGCTTGTCTCCGCACGCTCCCTGGCCCCCCCCCCTCGTCCGCGCACAGACCCCGGGCCATGATGCGCCAGCCCCCCTCCCCTTCTACAGCCAGATTCGAGAAGAAGAAGACAGGGGGAGCCGCGCGAAGACTGAGGGGATCAGAAGCCCCCAGACGAGCAATTTCAGACTTCCCCTAGACCAGCCATGAAAGGGCGGCCCTGTGCCCAGAACCCCCGGAACCCTCCGAGAAAGCTTGAGCCACTCTCCCCCGAAAGAACAGATCCCCCCTTTTTCTTTCATCCTCAGTGCCCGTTCAGAATTTTGCACTGGAGCTTGTAGTCTACCTGGGATTCCCGGGCTCCGCACGCGAATCCTCCCTGTCTCTCTCCTCTCTGCTTCCCTTCTTCTCCTGTAGTCGCTCTCTTGGCCCAGCGGGGCGGCATGGAGCCAGCGGTCTCCAGCAGGAGCCGAAGCTGGCAATCAAGGGTCGACAGCACCAATCGCATCTGTCACCACCTACCACACCACCTCGACCCAACCCAAAGGCCCCAACTTGCCCTCCGTTCCAAGTGAGGGGGGGGGCGTCGGGGAACATCGAAACAAAAACAGATGAAACCCGCACCTCCCCCCAGCCCGGAATTTGGATCTCCGGGTTTTGCGAGGTGGTCTGGCAGGCAGTCCTCATTTTCAAGCTGGCACGTGGACCGGCTTCCAGACGAAGCGCATCCAATTCCCCCGCGTCGGCGCACCTGGCCCATCTTCCCGCTATACAATGCTCCCCAACGACGTTATGATTGTGTTTCGCAGCGTGGCCCCCCCCGTCTACAGACAAACGGCGTCATCGCAGCCCACAGAGGCACACCCCCTCAGACATCCCCGCAATCTGGGCGAGAGCGGGCAAATGTCCCACACCCTTGCGGCTTCTCTTCGTGTGCTCAAGTGCCACGCCTTCTGCACCGCGATAGGAATTGGGTTCTGAACTCTGATAAACCGAAGAGGCAAACCGCCGGAGACATCCCCGCAATCTGGGCTCGAACGGGCAAATGTCCACACTTGGCGTCTCCTGGATGGGTGCGGTCGCCAGGCGTGCTGCATTGCGATGAGCACTGTGCTTCGAAAAGATGGAAGTCCAATGAACAAGACAGGCAAGCCGCCCGAGACATCCCCCAACAATCTGGGCGCAAACTGGCAAGTGTCGGCCCCACCCCTGGCGGCTTCTCTTCGAGGTGCTGTTTTAGCGCCACTCCTGTATCATCGCGATGAGCACGTGGCTCTGAAAAGAGAGAAGTCAAATAAGTCAGACAGGCAAACCGCCTGAGACACCCCTACAATGTGGGTGCGAACGGGCACATATGCCCACGCATGGCGGCTCCTGACTGGTGTGCTCCAGTGCCACGCATGATGTATGCAGGAATCCGAATCTGAGTTGAGTGAGTCTGAATACGTGCGACTCTGAGTATGACAGGGTCTGAGTGAGACTGAGTCTGAGCGTCAGTGAGTATGAGTGGGTCTGACTCAGCGTGAGCGTATCCCAGTGTGAGTGGCTCTAAGCATGAGTGTTCTGAGCCGGATGAGTCAGGAAGAACATGAGCAAGAGTCAGTGAGGAAGGGGAGGTGCCCGAGTAATCATACAACAAAAACACGCTCAGGATATGGGAACAGGAAGACGGCCCACCAGGGGCACGCACTGCCCCTAGACGGCTTCAACGTGTCGGAGGTGTTCTGCGTCAGTCTTCTTCCCACTTGGCCCAACATTGTGCAGCAGGAGCACCACGATGACGTCAAGACGCCCCAGCGACCTTTCGAACTTGACTGTCTCCACGCCGGGACCCATGAAATGGGCGGGGCAGCGCGCGACGCCTTCTGGGACACGAGAACTTAGCGAGTTCCGCTGGGGCACCAGCACTCGGATAACTCGATGTTCGGGGTATCGGCGGGGCTGTTTTTCAGAACAGGGTGTGGTATGCATGGTTACGTTTTGTTGTGGCATTTGTACAGCGCTGGGAGATGACAGTGCGAAGGCGATGCGATTACTGCTCTGATCCCTGCTGCTGTCTCGCTGCCCCCGGAGAGCAGACGCGGGCTTGCGCGTGCCAGGCGTGTGCCAGACACAAGGACCCCAGCTCCGACTTCGGACTCCTGCGCGAGTGGGGCTGGGCGAGGGGCTCGCCTGGAGCACTCGACGTCTCGCCTATCGGTCCTATTCTCTTCTCCCCTGTCCTTTCTGCTCCCTCGCGGTAGGTCAGCGCCGCGTTGGCGAAACGGCGGCCATTGTGCGGACGTTCAGGATTGAACGCCCCCCGTTCTGTAGAACCGACAGATTTCACACGATGCGCGCCATCGGAAAGTCGCAATCGTTCAAGGGTGAACGATGCTCGAATTGTCAGAGACCAACGCCCACGTCATCACGACGCGAACTGACCGTCTGACCGTATCTAGTTGTCGATCTGGGGGTACCGTGGTCAGGGGGCGGGGAAGGATAAACCAAGGGTTTACACTGGCCTTCCTCCATCTCATCCTCCTCATCTTTTGACTCAGCGGCAGTGTGGGAGGTACTGTGCTCCTTCTTATCGTTTTGCATTTCACAAGTATCGAGAATGATTTGGTGGATACAGCGGCATTTCCCTGGTCGGCGGATACAGTAGGAAGGAACAGGTGCCAGGGGGAGGATACCGGCTATGTCGCGAGCGCACCAAGCCTGCCTCCTCCCTCTCCGTCCTCTGTTCCTTTCCCTCCGCCTCACCCCTAACCCCCATCTTGCCTCCCTGCGCCTCTCTTTCCGCCCTGTCCGCTCCCTGCTTCTCTTCCTCCTCCAGCTTTGCTCCTTCTCGCCCTCCTCTGCCTCCCCCTCCTCCTCCGCCTTGTCCGCCGCTTTCTGTTGCCCCTATCTTTTCTCTTTCTCCAGTTCGGAACCGTGCGTTTCTGGCTTCGTCAGCTAGCGCCTTGCGCCGCAGACGTTTTTTCGAGCGTTGCTCTCCCTGAGTGCTTCCTGGCACTCACTGGGTCAAAGCAGTCTAGCGCGATGGCGTTCGTATCCTGCTTCAGCGGGCTCTTCAAGCCCGCGCAGACGAGCCTCCCAGACAGCGCGGACCCACGCATCCTGAAGAGCTTCAATGCACCAGAGCCTGTTGACCGGAAGGAGCAGAAGGACATCATGCGCCTGCTGGAGTCCGGCGACTTGTTCCGCTACAACCGCGAAGATGCGCAGTCGCCCGTGTCGTTGGTTGAGAAGCAGTTGGCCGATTACATGGGCTTCAAGTACTGCGTCGCGCTGAATTCCTGCGGCTCGGCCCTCTTCCTGGCCCTCAGGGCCGCGGGCGTGACGGAGGGCACGAAGGTACTGGGCAACGCGCTCACCTTCGGCGCGGTCCCGTCGGCCGTCCACCATGCAGGCGGGGTGTTCTGCTTCGTGGAGAGCACGCGCGACATTGTCATCGACGTGAACGACCTGGCACTGAAGGCGGACGAGACTGGCGCCAAGTTTCTCATGCTCTCGCACATGCGCGGACGCGTGGCGGAGCTGGACCAGGTGAAAGAAGTTTGTGACAAGCGCGGCATCACAATCATCGAAGACTGTGCGCACTCGTTGGGCGTGTGGTGGGGTAAGACGCACACCGGGCATCACAGCAAGGTCTGTTGCGTCTCCTCGCAATCGTACAAGATCATCAACTCTGGCGAGGGTGGGTTCGCGCTGACCGACGACGACGACGTTGCGGCCAAGATCTGCATCATGGCCGGGGGCTACGAGGCGAACTTCAAGAAACACATTTGCGTCCCGGGCCCAGAGGCATCGCCAGACGGCAAGACCAAAAGGGGGAGCAGGAGGAAAAGGAGCAGGTGGAGGTGCAGGAAGAAGGTGTCGAACAGGAAGACGTGAAGGAGCCCGTCAGTGATGATGCATGGCTGCATTATGGTCCCTGTTCTGCCTGCGGTTTGTTTTGTGAGCCACAGCGTGGCCCACAGAAGGCCAGTTTGGGTATTATCTTGTCGAGCTGCGCTTTGAGTCAGGAGACTGTTTTCTTCAGACTCGGGCAAGTCCACTTGCATGGCACTTCCTCCCCCTTCGCCGCCGTTTCAGAGAGCGCTAGGCCGAGAAGGCGAGCAAGCGAGTCCCGACTCGCGTGAAGTCCAGATCTCATCTTGGATCTCGCCCCACAACCCTCCATACAAGTAAACGTGCCAGAGTGTAAAGAAGCATTGCCTTCAGAGGGGACCACCCGCCCTGCCCCTGGCCCACGAGCGCATCGAAACGGCACACTGCTGAGGCGACCACGCACCCTGAGCTGCCTCGTGAGCGGGGGGCGCCGCGCGGGAGGCGGGATCCCGCTCCCCTTCCCTGGGCGTGGGGCGGGGGAGGGTCGCGTCAGGGGGTGGTGCGTGCGTCGAAGGAAGCGCGAGAAACGCTATATCTCGGGGGTGGACAGAACCCCCAAGAGTGACACGTCGATTCGTGAATTGTCCGTTTTCGGTTCTCGAGAGGGCGCCGTGGCCGCCAGGTTTGGGCCTCAGGTCGTTTTCACTAAACCGCGTTTTACTAAAGGGGGGTCTGTCCATCCCCGAATATCGAGGCAGGTCGATCGCCGACGGGCGTGTCCCGCTTCCGTTCCATATCGGCGCGCTGCGTCGCCAGCATCGGGCGGCGCTGGCGCCATGTTCCAGGGGCCAGGTTCCCCGATCCCTGGACCTGGCGCCCGCGTGCCGGAGCCACGCATCCCTCATGACTGTTCGCGTTGTCCTGAGTGTGGTGGTGGTGGGGGGGGCGGGGCAGAAATGGCCGTCGGGCACAGCGGGCTGGGAGATGCTGGTTCCACAGCCTGGGCCGCTTCTGCCCCCCCCCCGCCGCCTCGGCCCCTCGAGGTGTTCGCCAGGCTCGTGCCGCAGAGGTTCCCCAACTACTCCGTGCGCATGTCCAACCTCAGCGCGTCCGTGCTCCCGGGCCAGCTGCGCAGCCTCGAGGACCGGAATCCTGTTGGAGGGGGAGGAGGTTTTGAGTCTAGGCCTCCTAGATGGGGTCGGAGTAGATGGGGTCGAAGGATCGCGCCGCATCGCCGATGCATCGGCGATGCGGCTCGATGTGGAGCCCGTGTGTCCCCACGCTGAAGTCGCCGATGCTTCGCTGACGTCGTCGATGCATCGCCGGCGCATCGCCGATGCATCGCTGATGCATCCCCGATGTATCGGCGATGCGGCGAGATCCTCCGACCCCATCTACTCCGACCCCATCTAGGAGGCCTGTATGGAGCCGGCTGGGGTGGATGGGCTGAGGTGTTCCAGCACGGGCTCCGGCCAGCAGGGGGGGCGGCTAGGAGTACAGGGCCCCCTCGCCGCCGCGGCGGGGCGCGGCCGGGGCCTCCCGGGGTCCTCCTGAGGGCCTCTCGGGGGCCTCCTGTCCGATTCGGCTTCTGAGAGCTCAAGTGTTATGCTGGTGAATGTGTTTTATATGATTTTTGTTAATGCGGTCACTCTCCCTCCTTCCCCCCTTCAGAAAGTTGAGTTACATAGCGCCCCGCAATTGCGGATAAGAGTGAGGGGGAGGGCGCGGGCGACGCGGACGTCGTCGAGCCGGCGGACCTCGTGGCCCCCACCTTCCCTGTCGATGGCGCTCTCCTCCTCCTCCTCGTCCTCCTCCTCCTCTTCCTCGTCCTCTTCCTCGTCCTCGTCCTCGTCGTCATCCTCCTCCTCCACCTCGTCCTCCTCTTCTTCCTTGTCCTCCCTCTCCCCCTCTCGTCCTTCCATCATCGTCCTCCCATTGTCGTCCACCCCCTCATCGGCCTCCACCATCGTCCTCCCATTGCCGTCCATCATCATCATCATCCTCCCCCTCCTCCCCCTCCTCCCCCTCCTCGTCCTCCTCCTCCCCCTCCTCCCCCTCCTCGTCCTCCTGCTGCTCCTCCTCCTCTTTCTCCACATTATCCTTGCATCCTCTTTTCTTGCGCGTCCTCCTCGTCCCCTGTTTACTCCTCCTGTCTCCCCCTCCTTTTCCCAAGATAACGGCAACGCAGTCCTTTTCTTCCACTTTATGCTCCCCGACTTCTCTGATCAAGGCAGCTCGCCAGGGCAAAGTTGCTGGACGGGCTGGTGTGGATGCGCGGGGCTTGAAGAGGTCGTTGCGGGCGCAGACGGCATGCACAAATCCGCCGCCGCGCTTGTGCGGCATTGGTTTGTTCTGTGAACGTGGTTTGGGTCGCGGGTGGGTCGCGGGCTCTCCACCTCCACCTGGAAGGGATGCAAAAGCAGCCCGCCGCAGGCGCCGACAAAAAAATGTTTGTACACTGAACATGGAATGGGTCGCGGGTGGGCCGCGGGTTCTCCACCGGGGACGACTGCAAAAAATGCCCGCCGCCCGAAAAAAATGGTATGTACCCTGATCGTGGTCGCGGGTGGGCCGCGGGCTCTCCACCTGAAACGAATGCAAAAGATTCCCCCCGCAGGCGCCGAAAAATGTGGTTTGTACCCTGAACGTGGTTTGGGTCGCGGGTTGGTCGCGAGTTGGTCGCGGGGTGGGTCGCGGGCTCTCCACCTGGAAGGAATGCAAACAAAAAAACCGCCGCAAGCGCCGAAAATTGTGGTTTGTACCTTGAACGTGGTTTGGGTCGAAGGTGGGTCGCGGGTGGGTCGCGGGGTGGGTCGCGGGTGGGTCGCGGGTGGGTCGCGGGTGGGTCGCGGGGTGGGTCGCGGGGTGGGTCGCGGGTGGGTCGGGGTGGGTCGCGGGTGGGTCGCGGGGTCGCGGGTCGCGGGGTGGGTCGCGGGGTGGGTCGCGGGTGGGTCGCGGGTGGGTCGCGGGTGGGTCGCGGGGTGGGTCGTGGGGTGGGTCGCGGGGTGGGTCGCGGGTGGGTCGCGGGTGGGTCGCGGGTGGGTCGCGGGGTGGGTCGCGGGGTGGGTCGCGGGGTGGGTCGCGGGTGGGTTGCGGGTGGGTCCCGGGTGGGTCGCGGGTTGGGTCGCGGGGTGGGTCGCGGGTGGGTCGCGGGGCGGGTTGCGGGTGGGACGACGACAACAAAGAACAACAAGCAACAACAAACAACAACAAACATCAACAAACAACAACAAACAACAACAACGAGAATCCGCACCGCGAAATCCCATTTCAGCCACGCACCCAGGGACAGTGAATGACCGTTCGGCCCCCTCATTCGGATATATGTATGTAAACATTTTCGACACAGCCTACACTGTGAGCGATGCAGAAGCCATCTGCATTTCCTCCTCTGCGCGTGTGCGTGGGTGGTGTGAGAGGATCACCGCTCGCTCCCCGCGCAAACAGAGGGAGAGAGAGGGAAATGACAGACGGAGAAAGAGAGAGAGAGAGAGAGAGAGCGACCGCTGCCCCGCCATTTCCCCCCTTCCGCTTTGGGCGTGCAGGGTGCGAGAGGGCAGCGGTTACCCCATTCCGTTTCCCCTTAGCACTGAATGTGTGGGAGTGTAAGAGAGTTGCTGCTTCCCCCCTCCTACGGGGAGGGGGCTTCTCTCTTACATAGCCACCTTCCAGGTGGATCCACATGCCTATGTTCGGTGTGCGCTTATATACATATGGCCATCGACATGTATACCTCCTCCCCCATCTTCACATCTGCACACCATTTGTTTGTATCTCTTTCTTTTTGTTCTACATCCATATATATGTATATGTACATATATATATATATATATGTATATTATGTGTGTTCGCCCCCTCAAATATCACACACACACCAAAAAAAACAAAGCCAAACACGCACTCAGTCATCGTTTCCGTTTGCCCTTCCTTCGCTTTATCTTTTCAATTCCCCCCATGTCCAACACACTTCCTCCTCTTCTTCCTCGCTCATATTTTTCCTCCTTCTCCTTTCCGATCCCTCCTTTTTGTAGCCGACCAAAACCAATCATACACAGCGCTTGGCGCCCTCGGTGCAAGGAAACGCGTTCCTTTGTTGGTCATGTTGGTTGTTTTGGCTTAGGCAACAGGGACGCACCGTTTTTTTGTGGTCCTGGGGTGCACAGAGAGGGAACGGAGAAGGAGGAGGAAAAGGGAGAGAAGGGGAGCTCTGATGTCCCGCGAACCACATATACCAAACAACGCAAGGACAGTGATTTCTTGTTTCCCAAACTAAAGCGACCAACACAAAACCACATATACACAGCGTTTCTTTGCAGCGAGGGTGCCAATCACTGTGTAGTATTGGTTTTATGTTGCCTCGTTTTGCTGCTGCATCAAAACAACACCAATAATACACAGCGCTTGGTACCCTCAGTGCAAGGACGCGGTTGCGCAGTTCTGTTTAATTTGGTTGCTATGGTCTCAGAAGCAAGGCCTTGCTGCGTAGTATTGTTTGTTCTGATTCGGAGGACAGGAGGAGGAGGAGGAGGAGGAGGAGGAGGAGGAGGTGGAGGAGGAGGAGGAGGAGGAGGAGGGGACGGAACGGGACAGGAGGAAAAGGAGAAGGAGGAGGTGGGGAGCATCGCCGCCCTTCAAAAGACACATAAACACAACCAGAAACACAGTGTTTCTGCGCTGCCCAAACCAAAGCACAGCGTTTCCGTGCATTGAGGGCGCCACACGCAGTGTATTCTCGATTTTAATTGGCTACAGTGAGGAGGGACGGGGGAGGAGAAGGAGGAGCAAGAGGAGGAACGTGCTGTGTCCCAGAACTTCAAACATACAAGCACATTTAATACAAACGACGCATGCAACATGCTTCCTTGGTCCCTAAACCAAAACAACCCAACACAAACAAACATACAAAGCGTTTCCCTGCACCGAGGGCGCCAAAGGTGAGGCACCGGACAGGAGAAGGAGGAGGAGAAAGAGGAGAGGAGCTTATTGGTTCTGTGTGCTGGGTTGGTTGCTTATGGTTATGGTTTGCTTATGTGTTGCTTGTTCTGCGTTGCTCATGGGACAGGAGGAGAAGTGGGCGGCGTGCAGCATCGCCCCCCCCCCCCCCCCCCAAAAAAAAAAAAAAAAAAAACTGCCAAGCATACGCAGCGTCCCCGTTACCCAGACCAAAGCACAGCGTGTTCTTGCACCGAAGGCGCCAAAAGCAGTGTATTCATGATGTTGCTTGGCTAGACAGAGGGGGGGGGAATCGGAAAGGAGAAGCAGGAGGAGACCGATGCGCGAGGAGGAAGAGGAGAAATTGTGATTGGAGAAGGAAGAGAGGGAAATGATAAACAGAAGGGACGGAAGAGGAGAACGAGGAACAGGAGGAGGAAAGCATTGGGCCCCAACATTCAAATCAACCCAAAGCTTATGACAAACACATACACAGGGCTTTCTTGTTTCCCAAGCCATTGCAACCCAACAACAAACAAACATACAAAGTGTTTCCTTGCACCGAGGGCGCCAAATGTGAGGCACCGGACAGGAGAACGAGGAGGAGAAGGAGGAAAGGAGCATCGCCCCTCCAAAAAAAATACACAACAACAGCCAAAAATACACAGCGTTCCCATGTTACCCAAACCAAAGCACAGCGTTTCCATGCACCGAGCGCGCCAAACGCAGTACATTCTTGATTTTGCTTGGATAGGCAGAGGGGGGGGAATCGGAACGGATAAAGAAGAGGAGTAGGATGTGCGAGGAGGAAGGAGAATTGTGTGTTCAAGAAGGAGGAGAGGGAGTGAGAGAGAGAGAGAGAGAAGGAACGGATGAGAGGAAGGAGGAGCAGGAGGAGGAAAGCATTGGGCCTCCAACATTCAAATGAGCCAAGAAGCCTTTACAAACACATGCACACTGCTTCTTTGTTTCCCAAAGCAAAACAAGCCAACATAAACAAACATACAAAGCGCTTTCACGCACCGAGGGCGCCAAACGCTGTGTATGATTGGTTCTGCGTTGCTTCAAAGGTGAGAAACCAGACTGGCGAAGGAGGAGGATGGTCAGGAGGAGGAGGAAGAAACGGAGGGGGAAGAGGAGGTCTGGCGAGGGTTACGAGGAATTGTGCTCGGAGGAGGAGGAGCGGGAACGGAGAAAGAGGA